TAGCGTTACGCTTCAAAGCGTGGGAAGCTATCCCAGGGATATCCAAATGGGTGTTAAGCACGATAAAACAAGGTTATTTGCTACAATTCGATCGCCGCCCTCCCCGCTTCCGAGCGCGGCTCGAAACCACTGTGAACACGGCAGCAGCCTGCATGCTTCGTTCAGAAATAGCAAACCTTCTGTGCAAAAGGGCCATAGAGAGAGTGCCGCCTTCTCTGAGCGAGTCGGGGTTTTACAGCCGTTATTTTCTTGTTCCCAAGAAAGACGGCGGCCTCAGACCGATTTTGGATCTCAGATTTTTGAACAGGGCGCTTGTGAAAAGACCGTTCAAAATGCTTACAGTCAGGAAACTCCTCGCGCACGTGCGCCAGGGGGACTGGTTTATATCTCTCGATCTGAAAGATGTCTATTTTCAGATTCAGATAAATCCCCGTCACAGGCCATTCTTGAGATTCGCCTTCGACGGTCAGGTTTATCAATACACCGTCCTTCCGTTCGGCCTGTCCCTAGCACCCCGTATTTTCATGAAGTGCATGGACGCGGCGCTTGCACCCCTGCGGAGCCAGGGCTTGCGAATATTGAACTATTTGGACGATTGGCTGATTTTGGCAATCACAATCACACACGGAGCTACTGTCTCACAGGACAGTTCTCCTCAGTCATCTGAACAGCTTGGGTCTCACAATCAATTGGACCAAGAGCTCACTTCAGCCCAGTCGAGCGATTTCCTTCCTTGGAATAGAGCTAGATTCCGTGGCTATGACGGCTCGCTTATCAACACAGCGCGCGCGCCGTGTTCAGCGACTAGCCGCATCTTTTCAGATGAACAACCTCACGCCTCTGAAACAATTGCAGAAGATGCTAGGTTACATGGCCTCAGCCTCAGCAGTACTCCAGCTGGGTTTACTGCGCATCGCCCGCTTCAACATTGGCTAAACACCCGCGCGTTTCGCCGGGCTTGGGCCACTGGCCGCCAGCCGATCAGACCTGTATCTCAGCTCTGCAGCCCTGGTCAGTAGCCGAATGGTATCAGCGGGGAGTGATGATGGGAGCTGTATCTTACCGAAAAGTCATCTCGACAGACGCGTCCAACACGGGTTGGGGCGTGGTCTGCGAGGGCTCACCGGTGTTTGGCCTATGGTCAGTGCAGGAAAAGCTCCTTCACATAAATTGTCTGGAAATGATAGCGGTCGAGTACGCGCTCATGCGCTTCCTCCCGGTCATTCAGGGTCACCACGTCCTGGTCCGTTCGGACAACAGATCTGTGGTATCCTATCTAAACCGTCAAGGCGGTGTCAGGTCCAGGAACCTCTTCCATCTGACAGAACGCATACTGAGTTGGTCCCAGTGCCATCTGCGCTCGCTGAGGGCGACGCATGTGCCGGGCCACCTGAACGACGGCCCAGACAGACTGTCCAGAGACAACATTCCCCCAGGGGAATGGTCTCTGCACGCTCTAACAGCCCAGATGTTATGGCGCCTATTCGGCAGAGCAGAGATAGACCTCTTTGCGTCAGAGGAGAACTCTCACTGCCCAGTATTTTTCTCAGAAAAAGCGAGGACGCACAGGCCCAACCGCCCGCTTTACGCCTTCCCTCCCGTCTCGCTATTGCCACAGGTAATACAGTGAATCAGGGAAACGCGCTGCTCGGTGCTCCTCATAGCCCCGCGCTGGGAGAATCAGACATGGTTTCCGGAGCTTGCGCAGCTGTCACTGACAGCCCCGTGGCCCATTCCAGTGAGATCAGATCTCCTCTCTCAAGCTCGCGGCACGATCTGGCATCCCCACCCAGAGCGCTGGGCGCTGCACGCGTGGGTGATCAACGACTACCCGTCGCTTTGCCAGAAGGAGTTATGCACTATCATACACGCTAGAGCTCCTTCCACGAGAAGACTCTACGCGTCCAAATGGTCTGTGTTTTTAAAATGGTGCACCGACATAGATCTGGACCCACGGACATGTGGGGTTTCGCCGCTGCTCGTGTTCTTACAGGAGCTATTGGATAAGGGCAGGTCCCCATCCACGCTCAAAGTATACGTGGCGGCCGTCGCGGCGTTCGCTGAACCACTGCACGGCCAGTCACTGGGAAAAAACGAGCTGGTCATCCGTTTCCTCAGGGGAGCTAGAAGGATGAACCCCCCGCCCCCCCCATCGGTTCCTATCTGGGATCTTTCATTAGTGCTCGAAGCTATGAAAGCCCCTCCTTTCGAACCGCTTCAATCCGTGGATGTGAAATACCTTTCACTCAAAACCTGACTGCCTTTTTCTGACTGCCTTCTCATCAGTTAAACGTGTGGGAGACCTTCATGCGCTGTCTGTCAGCACCGCGTGTCTTGAGTTTGGACCAAATGACTCCAAGGTCATTTTAAAACCTAGACACGGCTATGTCCCCAAGGTGATCGGTACCCCGTTCAGAGCGCAGATCATTTCCCTATCGGCTCTGCCAACATCCGATAGCGAATGTGACGCCAATCTCCTCTGCCCTGTGAGAGCACTGAGATTGTATACTGCGCGCTCTGCCTCTTTCAGACGCACTGAGCAGCTTTTCGTTTCGTTCGGAGGGCGCGCCAAAGGTCTCGCCGCCTCGAAACAGACACTGTCTAGATGGATAGTGGACGCTATTGCTGCTGCGTACGCGTCAAAAGACCTGCCTTGCCCGTTAGGCATTAGGGCTCACTCCACTAGAGGCATGGCCTCCTCGTGGGCGTGGTCCAGCGGGATTTCCATTCACGACATATGTGTGGCAGCGGGCTGGGCTTCCCCCTCCACCTTTGTCAGATTTTACAATCTGGAAGTACCCGCCCTGCAGGCGAAATTACTAGCGGTCTAATACGCTACAGCTCTCCTGGTGAGCTGCAATGATGGGAAACTCTCCACAGACTGACACTGCCGCTCTGTCTCTTTCCCACTATGTGCTTATGTATTACATATACACTGGCCCGCACTCTTGCTGACCAAAATGTTTTCCCCACTCATAGGGCTCCCCGGGGTTCCCCCCCCTGGGCTCATGCTGTGGATGCTTGGCGCGCACGGCATTGACAATGGGTTCCCGTAGCGTAAGCTAGCTTACGCAATACGAGAGTACCTCTCGTAAGAGAACGAATCGGTTACCTAACGTAACCTCGGTTCTCTCTAGATGAGGGAACGAGTATTGCGTAGCCTGCCGTGCTCGCGCCACGAGCGATTTTTCGCTTCATTCTATGAAAACCAGGGATGCAGCCTTCGGACCTCGCTAATATACACTCTAGCCACGCCCAGTTTGGCAGGCTGTGACGTGATGAAGGCGCGAGCACCTCTCATTGGACGTGAGTTCATTCTGTCCGTCCATAGGCTGCAGCAGTTGCCGCAGAGCGACCAATGAGCTCGCTAGCTAGCCCGCTCAAGGTCTGCAGCTGCTGCACTGCGTTGACAATGGATACAAAATTAAGGATAATTTTTGCCTTCAATATTTCAGAAAAGATTAATCTTTCCCGTAGCTCGTTCCCTCATCCCTCGTTCCCTCATCTAGAGAGAACCGAGGTTACGTTAGGTAACCGATTCGTTTTAACACATCAATACTAAGTAATCAGATGTTCATTGATTCGCTAAAAGATCATATAAAGGAATTTCTTGAAATTAATACATATCGCAATGTAGACCCTCAAATATTGTGGCAAACAACTAAATGTAGTATACGAGGATTCTGTATATCTTTTTCTTCTGTATATCTTTTTCTCTAAGAAGACAATAATACAGAACTGGTTTACTCCACACATGTGTGCAAAAATATTGGATAGCCTCCACAAAATAGTGACTTGAATGTACAACAGCACGAATTAACAAGGCTAAACCTAGTACCATTGATGCATGGCAATGTTTTTCTTCCAACATATTGGATTATATAAAGGAATGACTATATAAAGTTTTTTTTTCCCTTTTTTCTTTCTTTCATATTGTTAATTATTGATATAGGCCAATGTCGGTTGCTCCCCCTTCCCTGTCTGTTTGTTTGAGTGGATGTGATAAAGAGTTGGTCACAAAAAAAAAGTCATTTTCCAAAATTAATTTTCTAAATATATTCTGACCGTCATTTATAACTGACTTTGTCCTATTAGGGTAAATTATTTTTGTCAAATTACCTTAAACTTCACACTCATTCAAATGCATTTTTAAAAAACATTAAAAAGCTTTATTAACATTCCATTTCATCTTACTATACTATATTTGGAACTCACATGTGAAATTGTCAAAAATTTCACACAAATTCAGAGGCAGCTTCGCTGCCTGGAATTATCAATGATAATTCAGAGATGGACAAATAAATGTTCCACAAAAGACTTTTGTGTCATATTTGACATTAACATGAACAAATGTAAAAAGAATTTTAAATTTGTAACATTATAAATGTACGAATGATCAAGTAAACCCAAGTTGCTTGTTCATCTTACATTTACTTTATGATTTCTGAGCAAAAAAGACTTTACTTGATAAAAAAGGATGAACTATCAATCAGAGGACTGCATGAAGTAGATTCTGTACAAGTATTTTTTCAGCAAAGTTTAGCTCATATTGCATAATTTATAGGCCCCATTTGCATATTAAATATGATACAGTAGGCTAGCTAATCTATTCATAAATAAGCATTATACTTATATTGTTCAACATACTTTTATAAAGAATATTTAGTTTAAGTTATGAGGGAATAAATTGTTTAAAAATTTGGCCAAAATGTAACACGGCGTATCCTGGGGGATACAAATATTCCTAATAAGATAGAAAATAGCAATAAATAAATTTTCTCATGTGTCTTTATTGTTTTTTTTATACCCCTTTAATCGGTTAGTCCCGGGTTAATACCGACTTTAGTGTAAATAAACCCATAGAGGTCTTCTTAATCACATTATATTAATAATTTACTCGGGCATTGCATCATCATCATGATAGTAGTTGATCACTCTCCTGCTGCATGACTTTGCAGTCTCAAAAGTCCCTTTTAAAACTCAAACTGATGAGCTACACAGCATACTGCTCACTGATTGGCTGAACCTCTCAAACTACCGAAAGCCAGAAAGACCAAAACACATTTTCGCATAATCATGGCAGACGCACCTACAGCAGCCAGGTACGTTGCTCAGTAGTAGGTTACTCGAATGTTTTACATGTGATTTGCAGTATCAATCAAGCTGGCAAAGTATGAGCTTTCATTTTGTAATAACAATAACAAAATAGATATAATAGACATAGCGACAGCAAGTCTTTGCGAGTTGTCCAGTTTTGCTGTAGCATAAGCACAACATGTTCTGTAACAAAGTCAATTATAGTCTCAGTAAAGTTTCTTATTATTGTTCACAGTAACAAGGCTGTTACAAGTGTTTACAATGAGGTTAAGGTATGTATTTCTCTAAACGTTAAAAGACGAAACTCCTTTGTTGACTTTAAAGGACTGTTAAACTAAAAAATAAAATAAAAGTAGTATGAAGTATGTGTGTATATATTTATACAAGGGGAGGCGAACGTCGGTCCTGGAGAGCCACACTGGTCCTTTAGAGTTTTTCCTCCAACTCTGATAAAAGCCCTTCCGACCTTGATTAGCTTTTGCTCAGGTGTGTTTGATGAGGGTTGAAGCAAAGCTTTGCAGGACTGTGGCTCACTAGGACCGACGTTTGACACCCTATATATATATTTATATTTTATGTGTATGTATGGGTGTATATATTTTGCATCTCACATCGCAGCCAATTGACACCTACTCACCATTAATACAGGAGTACTATGGAAAGACACTTAAGAAGACATCTGACCTGAAAAGCAATGCATGTGTACCGTCTGCCAAGTCTGTCCCTGCATATGTGAGAAAAGCGATAGCTGGGATCCATCCAGATGTCGTTGCAAAGTGAGGTTTACATGATAAATGTTGTGTTGATGCAATACAGGCTATATATAGGCTATACACATACAGTCAAACCAAAATTTCTTCAGACACCTTTTGCTATCCTTACTTACATGAACTACAGTGTCCTGCACCCACTAAAAAAATAATCATAACAAAATTATATATGGTCTCTGAATAATTTTTAGTTTGACTGTGTATGTATATATATATGTATGTACAGTCGTGCTCAGAATTAATGGCACCCCTGTTAAATATGACTGGTAAATATAAATAAAACATAAATCTGCATCGTTTATCCTTTTGATCTTTCATTAAAAAAAAGCCAGAAATCGAACCTTTCATTGAAGTAAAAGAATTGAAAGTGGAATCACATTATGAAATAAATGTTTTTCTGCAAAACACGTTGGCCACAATTATTGGTCAAAAGGATAAACAATGCAGATTTATTTTTTACAGCCAGTTTTGATCATATTTACCAGGGGTGCCATTAATTCTGAGCACGACTGTATATATAACATATATATATATATATTTCCTTGGTATACTTATGTGTTTGAATATATGTGTATATATATATATATATATATATATATATGTGTGTGTGTGTGTGTGTGTGTGTGTGTGTGTGTGTGTGTGTGTGTGTGTGTGTGTGTGTGTATGTATGTGTGTGTGTGTGTGTGTGTGTGTGTCTGTGTTTTACTGTTTTCACCAAGGCTGGATTTGTTTGATCAAAAATATATTAAAATCAGTAATATTATGAGCTGTGATTTACTCTTGTCATGGCAAGGATGCATTTTCAGCATCATTACTCCAGTCTTCAGGGTCACATGATCTGTCAGAAATCATACTGACATGCTGATTTGATGCTTAACCCTTAATCAGTGTTTGGGGTCCAGCTGACCCCACTGGACTTTTCCTTCATTTTTAAAAAGTGTTACCTTTCATCTCAGGGGCATGAGACTCTGTGACTTTTCCTAAATAATCTAAACACGCACAAAACAATCTGGGCTTGATTTGGTTGTTCTAAAGTTGTGTAACTTTTTTTTTTATCGTTTAAGGTGCTTGGGGTCAGATTGACCCCACATTGAAAATTAAGGGGAAACTTGTAAAAATGTTTTTTGTTTTTGTTTTGTTTTGTTTTTTTGTAAAAAAATAATAATAAAATAAATCCAGTATAAATCTGAAAATTTCTACATTTAAATCAAAGTTTGGTCCTAACACACACACACACACACACACACACTGCTTTGTTTTTGTGATATATGAGGACATTCCATAGGCGTAATGACTTTTATACTGGACAAACTGTATATTCTATCCCCCTACACTGCCCCTATCCCTAAACCTACCCATCACAGGAGACATGCTGCATTTTTACATTTAAAAAAAAACATTGTTTTTTATGTTTTTTAAGCTATTTGAAATATGAGGACTCATGCAATGTCCTCATATATCACGTGTAAGTTGTAATACCAGTGTAATATGCATGTCATTATACACATTTGTGTCCTCATTTATCACAAAAACAAACACACACACACACACACACACACACACACACACACACACACACACACACACACACACACACACACACACACACACACACACACACACACACACACACAATTTATTTTATTTAAATATTAATAAATATTCTATTTATTTGTGAAATAAATAGTATGTGATTACAGTCATGTCTTTTAGTGGTGACTTGTAACGTTTCTGCAAATTTATGTATAATAATTTGCAAAAGCAGACAATTCAAAATATTTCAGACAACAACAAATACAGTTTTTTAATGTATTTTAGAATGTTTAAATATTCAAAAAATATATATCATAAAGTTGTGAGGAGAAGTTGAAGCATCAAGAAAAATGAAATGAGTCCCTATGGACCTCTACTGGATATATATGGTCATTGCACTTTCTTTCTTTAACTATAATTCCTAAAGTTTTTCCACAAACCTGCAGATGGCAGTATTCTATCCCTAACACATAGAGCAATGTCCAAAACCAATTTAGATTTAGTTAAGATCACCATTTAAGAGATTTCTTCATAAAAAAAAAAAAAAAAATCCCAGCCAATTTATGGCGTAGTAAAAAAAATTAATTGTGTAATTGTGCAGTAAAAAAAAACCTACCAAATATCCACAAAAACACATTAAAAAAATTATATATAGTTTGCCATGTAAAACATGTATATTTCCTTATGGTCTATCTGACCCCAAGCACCAAAAATGTAAAACCCTATTTGAGCACTGATTAAGGGTTAAGTAACATGTCTTCTTATAATCAATGTTGAAAAGTTTTGTGCAAAACCCTGATACCTTTCTTTCAGGATTTTTTGGATGATTAGAAAATTCAAAAGAACAGCATTTATTTGAAATGGAAATATTTTGTAACATTTGTCTTTACAGTCACTTTTGATTTTTTTTTAAAACATTCTTAATATAAGTAGTCATTTCTTTAAAATGGATGTAGTAGACTGTATATATTACAGCCATTGATTAACTGGAAAGGTAATTGTACATTATAAGCATATTCCAGATTTTGAATGTTTGCTATTAAATAAAGCATTTTAATTTATTTTTAATTAATACTTTATTGGAAGGCTGTTGCCATATTAATAAAAAAAACAGATATATGAAAAATTATTTAAGTGGGCTTAATAGGGACACTTGATACAATGAAATAATTGTATCATATTTAAATAAAGCCAACCTTTAGATTTTTTTTTTTTAATTTGACTGCTTATACCTTGTCTTATAACAGTTATACTACTTTATTCTGAGGATACTTCTGAGGTTTTTTTTTTTGTTGCATTTTTACATCTAGCCTTTCACCATGTTTCAATGCTTAGTCCTTGGTGGCAGTATAACTTGTTTCCGTCCTCTCAGGTACTATGGCTGTGGTCTGGTGGTCCCTGAGTGTCTGGAGGGCTTCAGGGTGCTTGATCTCGGCTGTGGGAGTGGACGGGATTGCTACATGCTCAGCCAGCTCGTAGGAGAGAAGGGACATGTCACAGGCATCGACATGACTGAAGATCAGGTCAGTTCCCTTGAACTGCAGATTACGGTTACAGGGTGGATTATTGTAATGGACTCCTCACTGGCCTTCCTAAAAAGACCATAAGACAGTTGCAGCTCATACAGAACGCTGCTGCCAGGATTCTGAGCAGAACCAGAAAATATGAACATATCACACCAGTCCTCAGGTCTCTACACTGGCTCCCAGTTACATTTAGGATTGATTTTAAAGTATTATTACTGGTATATAAATCATTCAATGGCCTAGGACCTCAATATATTGCAGATATGCTCACTGAATATAAACAGATCACTCAGATCATTAGGATCACATCAGCTAGAAATACCAAGGGTTCACTCTAAGCAAGGAGAGTCTGCTTTTAGCTATTATGCCAGCCGCAGCTGGAAGCAGCTTCCAGAGGAGATCAGATGTGCTCCTACAGTAGTCACATTCAAATCCAGACTCAAAACACATCTGTTTAGCTATGCATTTACTGAATGAGCACTGTGCCACTGTTCGTCCGACTGTTTTTACGGTACTTTATTTTATTTTTTATTCTAAACTGTTTTAATTATTCTTATTTGTTTTGATTATTTTATTTTCTCCTATGTAAAGCACTTTGAATTACCATTGTGTATGAAATGTGCTATATAAATAAACTTGCCTTGCCTTGCCTCGCCTTTTGAATAATAATGTGCACAGTTAGTAAATAAGTAATTTTGTGCTTGTTTCATATTTCAGTTCCTTTCAGGTTAAAAGACCAAACCTTTAGTCTTCTCCAAACCAGTTATGAGATTAAAGGCCTGTTCGCACCAAGGACGATAACTATAATGATAAAGGTGTAGTTTTAAAAATCGTTCTAAATAAAAGCATAAATAAGTAAAAGCACTGCAGAGTCCACACTACAACTATAATGACAATGGCACAGAGGAACAGTAACGATAGAGGAAGTCAATGTCAAAAACACTGACAGCCAATCAGAATCCACCCTGCTTTAATTTAAAGAGCTCGATCATTTAAAGCAGACGACAAAACTGTAGTGGGTGCTTATAATAAACGATTGTTGTGGACGCTAACAGTTATTGTTATATTTATTAACTTTATAGTTATCTATGTAGTTGTTCTATGTGTGAACGGGCCTTAATAGTGTTTAATTATTTTAATAGATAAAGGCCCGGTTTCACAGACAGGGTTTAGATTAAGCCAGGATTAGGGCTTAGTTTAATTAGGACATTTAAGTAGCTTTTATAAACATGCCTTAGAAAAAAACATAACTGGTGTGCAGCTTGAGACAAAACAATGGCATTGACATATTTTAAAGACCCCCTGTGGTGAAAATCATGCTTTTAATGTTGTTTAAATGTCTATGTGGTGTTTTAATACACTTTAAGACAAACCATGTGCAAATTTATAAGTCAACACCATTGCTGAGTATTTTCTCCTTAAAACTGCAGTGAACCAAAGACAGTGTCAAAAACTGTTTGAAACCGCTGTTGTTTCTGACGTCACAAACTATATTTGTTACCAATCACGACAACGTGATCGTCAACGAGTGGATCTCTGAGCTGAGGGAGTGAGTGGAGATGGGGCTTATTTTCATATTCATAGAACGCGTATACTAAATGAGGCAAGGGTGTAGAGTTACATTCAAGCTATTTTAAGGCATGAATCATTTTTTTTCAATGAAAAATCGTTTAAATGTCATTTTGGTAATCAAAGATGAGTTTTAAGGGATAAAATGATTGAATACAGGGGGACTTTAAGATATATCAGTGCAAGTTGCTTTCAGTTAAAACAGCTCAAACATGTATTTTAGCCTGGGACTAGCTTAAGCCTTGTCTGTGAAACCGGGGGTGACAGTCTTAATATAAAAAAAGTTATTTATTTAACACATCCTACTAGATGTAATGGCAAAAACAGTATATGTGAACTACACTTTTCTTTTTCTTTTTTTCAGCTTGAGGTGGCCCAGAAGTATGTTGACTACCACATGCAAAGATTTGGTTACAAAAAGCCAAATGTGAATTTTGTTTGTGGTTACATTGAGGCCTTGGCTGAAGCAGGTCTAGAGGAGAAATCATATGATATCATCATGTAAGCTTTCAAAGTTTCAAAATAGTAGCCTTACGCCCGTTTCACACATACTCCGTATGCAGTGCGTATGCGGTGCGTTTTTTTCCCGTACCCATGTTAACAGGTTAGAGCTTTCACACTGCACGCGGATGCAGTCCGTCGATCTGTTCCAGTTGCGGTGCGTATACAGCAGTGCAGAGATCGTTTCCGCACCGAGTCTATTTTTGCTGTGCTGCAAACGCTGAATTAAAGTGACAGCACACGGTTCGTGGTCAAAATGAACACAGACTGACCTGAATGTAGTAGGTTAATTTCACCATAAATGCATTTAATTCAATAAAATGTAGTAATCTCACCATAAATGTATTTAATTAAATAAAATGTAACCATAAATGCATTAAATTAAATACTACTATTTTTCATAGTCATCTTTTTACTTTAAGACCGGGGTAAAGCAAGAATTTACTTCAATGCCACATAATGAACGACACTCGTCTCATTCGTTGAGGTGGAAAAACAAGTTATTTGTGACATGCAAGATTTATTGTATAAAGATTTAAATTATGCAAAAGAAAAGGTATGAGTCTGCTGTTTTTGTCAATTTTAAGTTTTAATTTAAAATGTTTGCGATTTTAATATAAGTACATGGTTAAATATGTTACCACTTGCTTGAGCAACTTAATATATAATCTATATAAAAGTAATGCATTGAATAATACGTTGTTTAAAATGTTTTCTTTGTTTTCTTTTCTGACTTGAGACTATTCTCTTTAACAGGTTTCAGTCTGTTCAGTTCCCACTATTAGCTTGCATAAACAGCCAATTAATTGGCGGTTTTCATTCTTTTCCTTCCAAAGATCAAACTGTGTGGTGAACCTGTCCCCAGATAAAACCAGTGTCCTGAGGGAGGCTTACCGTGTACTAAAGGTAACTCTATTTCACACTCGCACCAATGTTTGGAGTCATTTCAGAATTCAATTATTTAATTTTTCAGTTATATTTTTCCCCCATCCCTGACACTCGGATACTATACTTATTATAACAGTTATACGAAGCATTAGTTTGAATATTTGAAATAACACTGGACATTTTTGTATATTTAGCTCATTAACAAACAAAAAGGATTTCAATTTTCTTTGTTTTTAGGATGGAGGGGAATTGTACTTTAGTGATGTTTATAGTGATGCTAGAATCCCAGAAGACCTCAAGGCCAACAACGTGTTATGGGGTAAGAAAAGACATTGATCCTAATTAGCCTATTTTCTTTCTAAATGTTACAAGACAAGTTTAACTTTAGTTGTTCCACTGTGTTAAACAAAACAAATAAAACCTGACGCTGATATAGGCTTATTTGCATATGTTGATCAGGTGAGTGCCTGAGTGGAGCATTGTGGTGGGAAGACCTGATACGACTGGCTGAAGAGGTTGGGTTCTGCAAACCCAGACTGGTTACTGCTAGTATCATCACTGTGGGCAACAAGGAACTAGAGAAACTTCTTGGTGAGACATTAAAATGGTGAAATGTGCCACCTTGTAATGTTAATCAAAAATTAATTGGCTCAAGTCTGTTCTGCAAAAAACAAACAAAAAAAAACAAATAGACATTTTGCCAAAAACTTCTTTTGTGTTCCACAGAGGTAAGAAAGTCATACAGTTTAGAACGACATTAGTAAATTTTCATTTTTGAATAAACTGTCCCTTTAAGGCTCAATCACAGCCATGCTGATCTTCAGTCCAACAGCACTCTTACTCGTGTGATATTGGTTAAAGCAGCAATCTAGAGGAAATTATTACTCTTATACCACAGTTACCACACATGTACTGCATGTGTTAATACCAAGACATTTTTATTAGGTTTTCGTGCCACAAACATTCTTGTGTGTAGAACTATTTAGTTCTACTATTAAGTGATATGCGCAACTGCTGTACATTTCTTTAGCTTAAAATTATATATAAAGTATATATAAAGTGTATATATATATATATATATATCTGTTGCATTTAACATTTTGGATGATTTGCCGTAATGCTGAACATTTTGGAGGAAAAAAGTTGTTTATAAATTGCGTCAGTGCATAATGCATCATAACAAAGATGAATGAGAATAAACTTGTTCTCTTTGCCTTTGCAACCATCTATCAGCTCAGAGAGCACAAATGGCAGTCTATCTGGGTACACACACACACGCACACACAATTAATTGTCAAACATGCAGCACAAAATCTCAGACACATATTCCAAGCATCATTTTGTTTCTATTCTCCCAGTACATGCTCAGAGAAAAATTTGCCATTTCCATCTTGCTGACACTTGATTACAGTAGTAGACAGGAGGCTGATCATCTGATCTCTTGTCTCCCATTGGTAGTCATTACATTAAGTCATTCTGCATTTGCATAAAGTTAAACCTTTGTCATCTTTGTCACATTTATGAAATGTTTAGATATTTATAGTTTCATTTTGAATTGTAAAATTTGTTTAGGTGACTACAAATTTGTGTCTGCCACATACCGGCTCTTCAAGTTACCAAAAGGTTCAGAGAAGAGGTCCTGTCTGGTCATGTACAACGGAGACATTACAGGTGTGGAGGAAAGCTTCGAGTTTGATGCCCAATTTACCTTTAAGGTATGTAGTTACATCCAGTTCATCAGAATTTAACTACTTATTCACCAGAGCTCATAACTCATATCAGATCCTGCACATTCTTTCTCTTCTTTGTCCCATTAGTAATTATTAATATTTTGGAATAAATTAACAGTAATGTTATAGTTACATCCATGGATTAGCTGTTTGAATCTTGACAATATGTCACTATCATGTTGTTTGGAAAATAAGTGTAATGTAAGTGTGAGCTTTAAAAAATATCTTAACTGTGTCTTATATTGCTAGGTTTTAATTTGTTGGTCATATGGTAATAATATATGAAAATGAAATGCATATAAATGCTACACATGTAATTATTAAGTTAAATGGGTTGCATACAAATCTTTACATTTTACCGTTCAAAAGTTTCTGTTCAGTAGAATCTTTTTTTAAAGAAATGAATAGTAATGCAGCAAGGATGAATTTAATAATTATTCAGCAAGGACGAATTGAATAATTAAACACAAAAGTGCCAGTAAAGGCATTTATAATATTGCAAAAATAAATATATTTAAAATAAACACTGTTCTTTTGAACTGTCTATTCCTCGGAGCATTCTGAAATAAAGTAAAAGCACAGCTTGCACAAAAATATTAAGCAGCATTGTTTCAACATTAATAAGAAGCAATGTTTCCTGAGCAGCAAATCAGCATATTATAAGGATTTCTGAAGGATCATGTGACACTGAAGCAGGAATAAGTTACATTTTAAAATAGATTAAAATAGAAAACAGTTATTTTAAATAGTAATAATATTTCACAATATTACAGTTCTACTAAATTTTGTATCAGCCGTAGTGAGCATAAGCTGCTTCTTAAAAAAAAAAAAACATTTTACTGATCTTAAACTTAGAAAGACTATTTTGTGAACATTCATAATCAAGACAATTCTGGGTCTCTTTGTCTAGGTTGATAAAGTGATGGAGGTGGATGGTGATGTGGCCAGCCTCTTGAGTAACTCCAGATTTGCTGAAGAATTCACATTTCAGCCTCAGGAGGTGAACACCTCTGCCTCTGGAGGATGCTGGGCCAAACCCAAGGTAAGTGACTCATTTCCTACCATGCCTCATTTTCTTGGCCTACTTTTATCAGCAAAGCACTTATAGGGCCCTATCTTGCACCTAGCGCAATTGACTTTGTACACCGACGCATGTATCATTCATATTTTGCACCCGTGCAAAGCGGACTTTTCCCTCCACAGACGCACGCCGGCAAACTAGGGAATGAACTTGCGCTCCCTGGGCGGTTCAGCGCAAAAAAGGAGGCGTGTTCCGGCGCAAACAATCCCTGGTGCTATTTTGCAGTTCCAGAAAACAATTGCGCCACTGACCAGAAAAAAACTAGTCTAAAGTCAGTGGTGCGTTGCGCGTACATTCAGATGCTATTTTAAACGCGCATGCTTGGCCATAATACAGAGTGTGAACAACGCGCATACACTGTAGATCAGGGGTTCTCAAAGTTTTGATAGGTGAGGGCCAATTTAGGAACCCAACATTGAACTGAGGGCCGCCAAAGTGGCGGGGGAGAAAACAAAGAAAAAAAAACTGAAAAGAAAATCCCATTTGAAATTATTTTAATGACCAGGTTGCATCTCTACAGTTTACATTAGTTGCAATAAACACATTTTAATTCATAACTGAGGCTAAACCTGGCAAAACTTGTGAAAATTTTGGGGGGGAGAGAAAGAAACTTTTAAAATAGAAGCTTACCAAACAAGTCATCATCATTCATTCATTTCTATCATTGCTTGTCAGTCGCGTTTCCATTATTGCAGATTTGCATATTATTATATATCTTTTTTAACCCGTAACTGAAAAACGAAAAATGAACGGTTGTTGTCTTTTTAAAACGCAAAGTTGAACAAAATTTTAATTTGAACTGGCTTCACCAACTGCTGCGCAAAAAAAGTAAATATCGACAGACTTTTTCAGATTTTTGTTTAAATGACTTTTTGCCCCTTTATTAAACATTTTAAATATTCACAAATTAATATGGAAAACATGTCGATTTTACTGGTTTTCTAAGGCCAAATTAGAACCTGGAATTTATATTTTTCCCGCAGTGATGAATGAGAAGAGCCATATAGCCTGTACGTGTCTGATCTAGCCTGATTTATAGGTGAGTTATAGGCTAATGATAATAAATGCGTCTGAAAAAACAGCGAGGCATTTTAATTGTTTATTAATAAACTATTGTTTTCTAAGTGTCGGCTAAAAACATATCTCCATCTCCGCTGTTAAGCAGATGCGCTTTTAGAGAGAAATCCACCTTTAATACGGATTACATAATCAGGTATTTGCTTTCGATTCGAGTTTGTTTGTTTAAAAGTGCACATTTTAAGCTTTAGCCTACATAGGCTAGCTATATTTTGTTTCAGTTCTCGCGCTCCAGTTCACGGAGATCATGAAAGCGCGTAGTAGCCTAGGCTACTGATTGTTTTATTTTATTTTACAAAAGCACGTTTTCTTGTTATGAGTTTACACAAATAAAAGTAGTTGCGAATAATGCATTATTATTTTCTGTATGACCAGAAATGATAGACTAGTTTAAGTTGTTTCCACTGTTGATAGGAAAATGCAAGTGTTCGCGCCCGCGAACATTTTGAAAGGTAGGCTAATGGAAACGCGGCTATTAATAAGCTTGACATTGTTAAGATTATTATTAAGTCATATTGAATATTGATTACTTGGTCAACATACCCTTTTAAATTGCAATGGGAGTTGTGGTGCTGGTTTCGGTTGGCCACGATTCCTATTCCTGTGTAGACAACCACTGTTCCTGGTGGCCTTGGGAGTGAGGTCAAGTGCGATCGGTCGGTCGGACCATGTAATTACCGCTTATGCCTATGGATGCCGCTAAACACCACTAAACGGAGATATTCATTTTTTCAAAGCAATAGTTTTAACAGTTTTACAGATGTTATCGCGGGCCGCCAGAAATGTTTCGGCGGGCTGCACTTTGAGAACCTATGGCTTATGCCTATGGATGCCGCTAAACACCACTAAACGGAGATATTCATTTTTTCAAAGCAATAGTTTTAACAGTTTTACAGATGTTATCGCGGGCCGCCAGAAATGTTTCGGCGGGCCGCCATTGGCCCGCGGGCCGCACTTTGAGAACCTATGCTGTAGATGATTCTCTCATCTACACAGATGCATTTTACTTTTTGCAAATGATACATTATTATAAGGAAAAATATTAAAACACGAGGGAAATCATTGTTGTGTTCATGACGATGGGGAAAAATAGCCATAAAGTTTACACATTTACCCAAATTATTATATGCATGTTTAACCGAAGCTAATTTGGGTGGGTTTGTCCCATCCCCAATGTCACTTCTCTTTCTTTTACGGCCCTGACCAGAACATCGATCTCCTCGGCTGTGAACTGATTCTGAAGCGCGCCTGGTAAATGCGTCGTTATAATAGTATTGCACCATGGAACAAGCGCACCTCGTTCATCATGCTCTTAAAGGGAATGTGATATGACGCTCTTATTGGTTTGTTTCCCGTTACGCCCAAACCACACCTATGAATAATGAAGCTACTTCAGACCAACCCCTTTTAGATTTGCGTCGAGCGCAAGAGGCATTTATCCCGCCGGTTAAATAGCAACAGCGCCGAGATCCGCCCACAAAGTTACTTGCGCTTTGCGCTTGACACTTGCGTTTTAGATTGTTAAAATAGGGCCCATAGTATATCACATCTCTACATTCAATATTATAATGATCCATTTGAGTTTCAGTTGTAAAATCCAGTTTGTCTTATTTGACATTAAAATCTGCTGCAAAAGTGACAGACACATTTTTTTTTCGTGTTTAATACAGAAAAGCTAATTGCTTTAAAGAAATCTATTGTATAAAGTGCCAAATTGCAAAGCAGGTTCAAACATATCTACTTCACTATGATCAGATGCGTTCTTATCTGGTGTATTCTCACCGCTGTCATTTTTGCTGCATGTTTTTGTTATTGAGAGGAAAGCGAGCAACACATATTGCATATTCTTCTAAATCGTGCTCTCAGCAGTGAGGGTGGCGTCAGAATATTTGCTATTCAAACTTCTTTTTACCCTTAAGAAAAGAAAGATCTTTTGCCGTGAGTATTTCTGGACTTTCAGTTGCTCTATACAGACACACAAGGTCACCCATCTGTACCACAAAACCTTGAACACAGAGGAATGTCCGCCCTTCCAAACAAAGAATGCCATCTTATCAAAGCTGGTGGTGATTCAGTCTTTGCAAACGAATCGACAACAACACGCGGTCATCCTCCAGGGAGTTTAATGATCACTGTTGGTGCCTGGATCAGATTTACTCCATTTTTAGAAATCCTGATTTAAACATTTAACTAAAAAACATACATTTAGTTAATGTTAGTTAATGACCATTGTTTTGGTTTCATTCATAAAATATCTAAAACTTTCTTAAACTTCTAAAGAGCTAAAAATGTTCCTGCCATGCTTCAGTGGATTTTTACTTTCACACAGAAAGCCTCAAATATAATCTCATTGCCAAATATCAGAGATACATGTCATAAGTGCTGTATAATCCAAATCTTTTTTTAATATTATAAACCAAAACAAGATTTACATAGTGAACAAGGCATGGGTGTGTTCTTTGCCCACTGTAAAAAAAGAAAAAAGAAAGATCAATAAGAATTTTTTTTTACTTGCTTTGACACATCAAAATAAGTTAAGCAATTTTCACATTTGTATAAGTTATGCAAGATTCATCTTATTCTTTTTAAGCGAGTTTAATGCAATTTAAGTTGAAATTACTTAAACATCCAAGTTGACTGTACTTAAACATTAAAGGCAGCGATTGGTTTTTTTTTTAACACTGTATTAGCTCTATTTTGTTTTAGTGTTGGTTTTGTCTGAATTGAAAGTGTAATAAGGAAGTGTTGCACCCATTTGATGCTGTTTCTGTTGTTTTAGACCCAGAGTTTTCAAACTTCTTGATGCACTAGCCCCCCAAACGTGATTTTGTAATATATTTTCAAGTATATGTATAAACCTGAAGAGGTATATATAGTTTTTAAAACACATTTTGCACATAATTTTTCTCTGAACTTTCCCCGGACCCCAGTTTGAAAAGCCCTGTTCTAGACAACTCTAGTTTTCGGTCCCTGAATGCAATGAAGTTTTACACAGCAATGATATAATGGGCTGCAGTTGCATAATGAATCAGTCTGAATGCTCTGTGTCATTGAGTACTTTGGAACCAAATAGCTATACATTATGATTAATGCAAATACTGTACTTCCAACCTCTGAGAATGTTCCTCTCTCTTCAGGCAGTGTCAATGAATCCCTTTGAACTGGTCCAGCAGTTGGGCAGTGCACGTGTAACTGCTTCCACTGGGGGGTGCTGTGCAGGCCAGGAATCATGCTGCAACTGAATCTAATGTAAAATCAGTTTTGCTTGTTTATAATTTGAAAAGAACAAATTATTGGTTGTAAAGTAAAAATTAAAGTAAAAATTATATCTGTGATTTTGTAAAAAAATAAAAATAAAATGTACATAATATAACATTACTCATAATTTGTAAAAGGTAACAAAAAAACGAGGACATCGATCAGTATAGTGTAATGTTGTGCATCCACTTTTAATCATATGGATTAATGTATAGCAATATCTTGTACATCACAAGTCTATATAGTTGCATAATCTTAAGCATTCTCCTGCCAGATTTAATCTTTATTGTATCTTTATTGTATTGTCAGATATAATCTAACTGAAAACTCATGGTTTATTGAACTTTTGTAATCAAATCACTTTTTTCTACTGCTGTAATAAAAATGTTTGAGCTGCTGACTGCCTGGCTATTACTATCAGCTGGAGAATATTCATGAGCTCTCAAATGAAAATCACCTTTTATTAAATATAATCTAGACCCCATCCCTTAAAATTTCACAACAGGATTTTCAGGTGAGAAGGGGGAACACATCAACCCTTTGCTGCGATTCTGGGACCAATGTTCTTTTCTGAAAAAGGACAGAATTTGAGGTTATAGAAACTTAAGGAATCAGAATTCCATTGTAGAGTAAAACGTTTTTTTTTTTACTCTAAAATTCTCTCTAATTTACTGAATATGTAAAGTTTCACCACCTGTGAAGAATTTTAGGATTGTGAAATGGTTCATAATCAATCAACTCTCCTTTGGTCTGGATTGATCTCTGGCCCTGATAATGATAAAATGCACACTGTACGGAGATCTGAGTCCATGATTATTTTTACATCCTTTCATAGGTTTTGCACCTCTTGCATTTCTTAAGATCCCTCTAATCCCTGCCTTATCTATATAAGGTAAAGAGTTACCTTGAATAATCACAATAAATGTTCAGCTTTGTTCATTTTCTTTAGGATGACATGGACTGAATCGTTGTTCAAAATGTCTGCATTGTGGTGTTTCTCCAACTTTGAGAACTTTATAACTATAAAACTAATGTTTTTCAACTTTTTTTCTGCCACATCTTTTTGCTTCTCTTCAAATGATTTTTGTGTAGATTTTATTATGTCCCAGACACAAACTTTCAATCCAACATAAAGATATGAATAATTGTAAGATCTGTGGTGCAGCTGTGCACATGTTCTGGATATGTGGGTCCCCGAGAGCCCAACCTGGGACATGCTGTGATCCCACTTCCCCTCTTACCCATACTTTCTACACTTCTATTTTTTTAGGAAATAACCTCCTAAAATATAGGAGATGGCAATACTTTCATAAATGTAACAATCATACAACAATTTCATTTTATGTTAAACAAATGATGCTGTTCCTCACTGGCATAATTTCCAGCACAACCAACAATTTTGTATACAATTGCTTTATATTTTGTATAAAATATATAGGCCTATATTTTGTATTCCTCCTAAGTATAGCTACAGGTTACAGGAGGAAACAGTGAAGATGTTTTTGAGATGATCTAAGAAAAACCAAGGCAAATATCTGTTTTTAGATGTATTTTTATTGTGTATCATTTCACTCAATTTGAGCCTACATTAAGATATGCATGCCATTTATTTTCAAAAACGTTTAAAATGGAATTCCACCACTGTAATTTCAGCACAGAGTGCTATCAGACAGTTTAATTTGGTAATACAAAAGGAAAATTACAGAATTCTCTTGTGATGCCAAATTGCTGTTGGACTTTGTAAATAGACTAGTGTAAATTAAACAATCTGAGTGTGATATAAATGTATCAGTCTACAGGTTGTCCCTATAGGCTGTCTACTGTTGAAGAAACTCTCTAAAATCTTGTTTAGGTATTTATTACATTTCCTGAGAGTATCTTGGTATTATTCAAAAATGCTGTCACCAAATATCCTTCTCGAAACACCAAAAAACAGTCACGGGGAAACTTCTGTATGCGCTCGTTTGCATTAAGTGCGACTGTTTACGGAGCTCATTGGCTGTTCCAGCAGCGAAGGCCCCGCCCAACGTCCAGCTGCGCCACTGGATTGGCTGGCCAGGTCGCCTGTCACCGAGACATCAGTAGAGGCACGAGTTCGCGCTGCTCTCGCTGAAGTGTGATCAGTTTCAGCGGCGTAGTGGGACTCAGCGAGACCTGATGCACAAGTCAAGGCGACGCACAGCGGAGATGAAGCCGGATTGGCTCTGATTTTTAAAAGCCCTTTCATTCAAGAGGCTGTCCATTTATCAACAGTCGGTTCCAGTAGCCCCTCAAAAAATGGCGTCACTTAGCCGGGTCCGAGCCTTTACTTTGATGTTCTTTACTGCAAGCAGTTATTTAATTACTCCCACAAGTGGCAAGGAAGGAGGGGGAGAGGAGACTGTCATCATCGGGCTGAGACTGGAGGACACGGACGACATTTCCTTCATGGACAGGGGCTATTTGCGGGTCAGTGAGAGGTCTCGGGTGAGATTGAGGGTGTACGGGCAAAACATTAACAACGAGACGTGGTCCAAAATCGCCTTTACGGAACACGAGAGGAGTCGAGTGATTGGCAACATCGACAGCTCCTCAGGAGACAACAAGAGTCAGGAGGACACGTCGGGCTTGCACCCCTGTGGCATCAGGACTTCAGATATTCTGATCTTACCCAACATCATTTTAACCCGCAAGACGTCTGGCATCGTGGAAATCGAGGTCAAACCTTTACGAAAGACTGAGAGGAGCAAAGCGTACTACCTGTGCATCGCCACTTCCACACCTGCTGTGGCTGGCATGCACGACCCGTGGACGGAGACCACGTGGATCTATCACGATGGAGAGGACACCAAAGTGATCGTGGTGGAGGAGAGAAAGTTTCTGCTCCCTTTCTGGCTTCAGGTCACCTTTATTTCCATGTTGCTCTGCCTCTCGGGCATGTTCAGCGGCTTGAACTTGGGTCTGATGGCGCTGGATCCCATGGAGCTCCAGATCGTCCAGAACTGCGGGACGGAGAAGGAGAAGAACTACGCCAGGAAGATCGAACCTGTCAGGAGTCAAGGAAACTACCTGCTTTGCTCGCTTCTTCTGGGGAATGTTCTGGTCAACACGACCTTGACCATTTTGTTGGATGATATCGCCGGTTCTGGATTGATAGCTGTAGTGATGTCAACCATTGGCATTGTGATATTTGGGGAGATTGTGCCTCAAGCTATATGTTCACGACACGGTCTCGCTGTGGGTGCGAATACAATCTTCTTGACTAAATTCTTCATGCTGCTCACTTTCCCTGCGTCCTATCCGGTAAGTAAACTGCTTGATTATCTCCTCGGACAGGAGATTGGCACAGTGTACAACCGAGAGAAGCTCTTGGAGATGTTGAGGGTCACGGATCCCTATAATGACTTGGTGAAAGAGGAGTTAAACATCATCCAGGGCGCGCTGGAGCTCAGGACTAAGACAGTGGAAGATGTGATGACCCCGTTGCGCGATTGCTTCATGATCGCTGGCGACGCCACGCTCGACTTCAACTCCATGAGTGAGATCATGGAGAGCGGCTACACGCGCATTCCGGTATTCGAGGGCGACAGGTCCAACATCGTGGACTTGCTGTTCGTGAAGGACCTTGCGTTTGTGGATCCCGACGACTGCACCCCGCTGAAGACGATAACGAAGTTCTACAGCCATCCCTTACATTTCGTCTTCAACGACACTAAACTCGACGCTATGCTGGAGGAGTTCAAGAAAGGTGAGAACGCGCTCGCGCTGAGAGATGATGTGCTGAAGTGTTTTTGAACAATGTTGCATTGAGTGTTTTCCTACTATTTAAGCCTACTCTACGTTGCATATAGGTTTTATTGTCATATGAAAGCTAGACTATCATCATGTCTAGGCCTATATCAAGGCAGTCGCGTGCCTTTTACGCACCGGCTGTATTACGCACGACTATATCATTGGGCTACTAGATTCTACATTTCCTTTTCTTCAAAAAAGTTATTTTTAGTCCAACATATGTCTATTCAGGTATTTAAACATTGACCTGGAAGGCAACCTACATAGTCCATTCATTCAGTTTACTTGAAGGTACTCAGATATTTAGTTTTGATTGAATATAGGCTAATAATTATGTAATACCGTACGTATAGGCTATTATGGTATGTCCCCCATCATTATTTCATCACACGTTATGTCTTAAGTCCTATGTCTTCCCACTTTTTATCACCTATAATGATTTAAACTCTCTAAATTGGGATAAACTTAAGATTGTAAGTAAAATCGGCAACTTGCAGTAATAAATAGATTTTTGCAGAAAAAAAAAAAATTATTCTGTTACATTGATGGGAATAATTTGTTATAGTAATAATGTGAACTTTTCAGAACTAGTTTGTCATTCATGGTCATCCCATTTCAGAGTTTGCTAAATACTTCCTCTCCATACCCATTGCTTGCTCTTTCTTGAGGGTTCCTGCACTATTTAAAACTATTTTGAGTTGTCAGCTTTGACCTGTTTGACCTCACTTGCTGCCCTCAGGACCCTACACAGGTATTACAATGTGCCTGAGTGCAGGGAAGTGCGGTATCTCGATGTGCCCTCACATAGCTAAGGGTTAATGCTTGCAGCAGTGGTGAGAATGTAGTGATGCAATGGAAATACACTGCAGGTGTACTCACAGTTGCTAAAGGATGACTCAGGGGGGTTATTAGGTGTAATACTTCATAATGCATGAAATAACATGCCAGTTCAAATTAGAACTTAAATTTAGTAGAAAATTTCTTATACATTCTGAAAAAGAAAACTAGTATTTAATAGCTTATATAGATTTAAAAAAGACAGAGTAGATTTAACGTTTACTGGTGTGAATCATACCCTATAATGTACAGACCAAACTTACTAAATGTAATAACCAATTAGCCTACATTATCAGTTTGCATTAGACACAGCCTCATACGATCTTATGACAGTATCCACACCTCTGCAAACCTGATGTTTTATTTAAAGTCAAACCAGCTTACAATTAATATCAAAATAATGAACTATTGTAGTTCATCTAATGCATTAATACATTTCATTTATATATATATTTTTTTGCGGGGAAAAGGCATCAAAACGTTGACATGACTAAGCGACTACAGGAATACACAGCCATTATAATAATTTTAGCAACCTTAGCTATGATTGTGACTCTTTTGTTCTTGGCTTCTCTCCAGAGGAAACTCACGATTGGCTGTTGGCATTCTAATGACTGATTAGGGGAGTGGGCACAAAGTTTCACATCAATCTGGCTGTGGTTTGGGCACTCTCTCAGTTCAAACTTAGTGCTTTGTATTGTAAGTCAGTGTTAATTAATCTAACGCCTCTTGTGGAGCTGCACAGCCATCCAAAGTAGGAACAAAATACATCACTCCTGCCAAGCACACCTTCACAGTGTAATTTGTTTCTCTTTGATTTTGCTTTTTGAGTGGCAAAAGTTGCTTTTATTATTTCTGCAGCCGACTTAAATGATAGCATTTGAACATGAGGTAGATGATGCTCCATTCTGACAGAGGAAAATGGACTCAGATGTCTTATAATAGTCAACTAATTTGGGTCCGAATGAGAAGGACTTCTGACTGCAATCATGACCTTGAGGTCAGCCCTAAAATTCCTAGAGCTACAGACTACTAGCTCCTGATTGAAATAATTAGTGTGTCATAAAGGGAGCCCTGCCAAACAGCAGTTTTGTGTTTAATGAGAATGGCATTGTTCATCATCTGGGCTTAACCCAAAGTTGTGCAGTTCAAGGAGGCATTTGCTGCTGCTGCAAAGATTCTTATGTTGAGTGGGTATTTTGTTTTTCTCTCTTAGTATGCGAGTTTATTTGTAAGAATATTTTCTATGCTAAACAGAGTTGCGTTTTCTTATTAGTGGGGAATAATAATTAAATATTTAATTAACTAAAGGGCTCAACAATAAGGATTGCCCACTATCAAGGGTTAGTGTGAGACAGTTGAGAAAACTAGAACAATTTGCATTCATTAAACTTGTACATCAATGTTTTTCATACATTACAAACTTTTTTCTGTAATGTATTGTAATTGTTTTTGTTGCAAATTCTACTAATTTGTCACCAAGATGAATAAATATGAGGGTTTGTAAAAAAAAAAAAGAGTATAATTTCCAATTGTGGCATATATTATTTTTGTTTAAAAAAATGAGTGAACAAATGTATTTTTAAGAAACCTTAAATGGATAGTTCACCCAATAATGAAAACTCTGTCATCATTTACTCACTCTCATGTCGTTCTAAACCCACTAGAGTTGGGTTTAGAACGACATCTTCAAAACACAAATTAAGATATTTTTAATGGAACCTGAGAAGTTTCTGTCCCTACATTAAAAGAAAAAGGTTGTTGAAAAAGGTCATCATAAAATGAATCCATATGAATCAAGAAGCTTAATCCAAGTCTTGTGAAGAAATATGATCGCTTTATATGAACAGATTTTTTTTTTTACATCTAAACAATGATTGACATACACATAGACCACATAACATAACGCGTGTGATGCACGAGGACCAACAAGGTTTGTTTTAGAGCATAATGAACACGTGATGCATGCAAAAGTTTCTGTTACGTGATGTATACAAAATATGTGTTTATATATGGAACGATATGTCGCAATGTTTGGAACAACATTTTTGGCTTTCCCTTCAACATATAATAAAACAAATTTTATTTCTACAATTATAAAAGTGCCTTGCTAAACATAAAAATCATTCTTTTGTGGCAGTGCAAGTAAAAATCAGAACTACTGGCCCAATTGGTCATCAAAAAAAAAAAAAAAACCATATTGTTGATCCCTGAACTTAAATTATTAGGGGTCATTCAAAATTCCAAAGGAATGGAACACAGTGCAACTTTTTTTTAATGTAATTTTTTTTTTTTTTTTTACCTTGACAGAGTTTTATAAAAATGCAACGCTCAATGGCGCAAGATGCTGAAAAACAACAAGATTTATTGCGTTCATCTAGTCCAGGGGTAGGCAAGTTCGGTCCTAGAGAGCCGCTGTCCTGCAGAGTTTGGCTCCAACACTGAAAAAAACCTCTCCTGCCTATAGCCTTAGTAATCCTGAAGACATTGATCATTGATTAGCTTGTTCAGGTGTGTTTGATTAGGGTTGGAACTAAATTCTGCAGGACAGCGGCTCTCTTGGACCGAACTTGCCTACCCCTGATCTAGTCCATGCTTACATTAAAAAAAATACTTTGCAAATGGAAGCAAGTACGCATCCTGAGTGACCAGCCCTCGGATGCTTTCATCGTGCTTGATCATATCTCAACATACATCGTGTCAGTTAATTTAGTGCTTAATCTAGAACAGAAAGGTTACTGACTTCTTTGTAGTACTTACCTCATCAAACTCATTTAGCTGCAGAAGGATGTAGAAAACATACTCTCTGCAAAAAGTTAGAACAAAGTACGTAAAGACAAAGGTCATGAAATCAGAGCCTAACTCTCCTGAACTCACTAACCCTCCAATATGCCTTGGTTCAGTGCCAGCATTGCTATCACACGCTTGAGGCGATCAATCTGTTAATTTATGCGAGATAGGAAGATTTGTTATCATTTTAAATCATGCAGATGTACTCTTGGCCTTCAGTGACGCCACACTCATCTGTATCTCCAAAATAAGTGTTTTGCGATCATGTTTTTGTCATTATGGTTATAGGAATCAGTAATTAAGAGACTTACTTAATCTTATCTCATATTCATGATGTTATACCTTCAAATATATCACAATTGTTCAAAACTCCTTAAAAAGCCTGCATACTTTGCACCTGTCATGTTATCAGTTGTGACATCTATAGATGTCATAAACCACAGTAGTTCATTTACAGTACAGTACTATTATTGTAACGCAGGGCCACTGAAGGTGGTTGGCCTCCACATGAGTTCTTGCACGTATTGAACCAATCCACCCGCCTGCTAATGTAGGCCAATCTATGCTTAATTCAGATTCAGCAACCTCCTTTCCCTCTTGTTTTAACGTGGGAATTCTTTTTGACTTCACTTGGCCTAGTTATGGCTGCATTATGTCTCATAATAGATGACATCCCTCCTTCTTACACTGCTCAATCCAAATAACATCCTCTTCAATTAAATCAGAATCATTTTTGTGGCACCCCGCATCTTCAATTTTGACATTGTTCATCTGATGAGCAATCAGTGTAATGATTTCTGCTGAGATGTTGGAGCGTATACAGTACTTAGTAACACTTGGTTTGGTGGGGATTATGTGGCGTCATATTGGCAGGAACTCTGCTGGATGTAGTGTGTGGGATCCCCCTTTGAACACACTATGGTTTCACACTTATGGCGTTTTTACTCTGGGCACTTTTGCTGCAGTCCGTGTCCGAGCGTGATTGTTCCCGGCGCCCCCCGCTGTGTTGGTCTGGTTTCACTCTCCACTTGATTCTATTAAACCCTGGTGCAGTTGCGTTCATCTTACGCCATCACAAATGTGCATGGCGCATGATAGAAAAAAGAATGCAGGTCAAATATATTGTGTTTTTTTTTTGGTGCTACGCACAGCTGAGTAAACGACACTCTGAATGTGTGTCGCATGAAGGCGTCTTTCTGCTGCTTGCAAACAGACTCTTTTGAGGATACAAAAGTGGATTGCCAATAATTTGCTGCCCTGATTGCTCTCTCTATGCGTGAATACACTGCAGGCTCATTCTCGCTCGTATCCAAGGTAAATCATCAACAC